TTAATAATGGAACCTTTAATTGGACTTGGACTGGCCCTGGAGTTAGTAATGGAGTGATTAAAGTAGCAGATACCACTAGGACCAGTATATTGATGTTATCTAATATCAGCACTGCTGATGCTGGGAACTATACTTGCTCTGCCTCTTATCTAGCAATGGGTGAATCAGCATGGGGCATTATAGAACCCAACACAAATACAAGAACTATCAATTTGATAATTTATAGTAGGTTGACTTAAAAATTTTCCATTAATGTACTTGCTAATGCAGCTATAGTGCCTATTCATTCGTACCCTTTTGTCACAAATGGTTGCTAATATTGAATAATGTTATTTCCTTCTCCTGTGCCACTATAGGTAGTGTATCAACACCAGCTAATACTGTGATTGTAGAAGAAGGGAATGATGCCACATTATCATGTCTTTTCACTGGATTCCTACCAATTAATTATAAAATTAATTGGAGTGGTTTGATACCATCTAATGCTATCATTGCCAATCATGAAAACACTCAGTATAAGACTCAGCATGGCAGTTCTTCTACTAGGCCAGCTGTACAGAGTATCTTCATAATAAAATCAGCTAAAGTGGCCGACAGTGGTCTTTATACTTGTAGTATGAGTGGTACTACACTGAGGAAGACTATATTACTCATGGTCGTCACGCAGAAAACAAGTTGGCAAGTAGAGCTGGAATGAACTAAATGGGTCTCTTAAAAGAACTGAAACATTCCATGATGACATTAATATCATCATTATTAAAATTAGTTTGAACTAGGGCTAGAATTTTAAATAATATTAATTTTAAATTTAATTGGATTTACTAGTTTCTAGCAAAACTAGCAAGGAGTCTTTAAAATGCTAAATTTAATGTTAAAATTAATTAATTTAATGTTTAAAATAATTTAAATGGAGTGATTTTTCAGCCATTTTTTGGAAAATAATCAAATACTTTTCAGATTTTGGCAAATTTTTATAATGGCCATAACTTGAAAAATTTAAGTCGGAATTGGCTCAAACTTTCTACATGGATAGCATAAGGACATTAATATGTAGTGATCTAGTCATAATAATTATAATTAGATTACCTAATATAATAATTATTATAATTTTAATTGAAGTGATCTCATAACCATCAAAGAGGTCTCAGCTCCATAGACACACTACATGCATTTTTTGCTTGATTCAGTGCATTAGAATCATTAAAATTGACCTAAGCTACGCCCACGTAGACTCAGCTCACACCTTGCTTCTCAATCATTCGATCAATTCTTTAAAGCTTGGACTAGTCTTACTGTTTTTCCTCTTTGCCCCTGCTGCTGCTTCTCAGTATTATGTACCAGGTGAGTAGGACAGTACACTCGTAATTTTAATGTAGTCTTAGATTAAACTACTTGAATTCTATTTCTATAGTGTCTTTGTCAGCTAGACCCTGTCTCCTATCTCTGTTTTAGTAGATCTACTATAGCTACATGTAAATGAATTAGGAATGTTAAATTGTAGCACACAATAATTATTTTATTTTTTACCATCATGTGCATTTATGCAATGCATAAGACAAACCATGTCGTTCTAATTATTATTTCTTCTACGGTCTTGTCAGTCTGCAGATGAGACCATGTTTCATGCAGCCCTACCATAATCTGTGTGACAATTTTCACGAAATTAAGGCAATATATGCTACCATATTGAATACTGAAAATTTATGGATGTTTAATTGCTAAAAAGTGAAATTTACAATGCTTTATTCTTGTGGTGTTTTGTGCAACATGCATGCTCATTCTGCTGTGTTACGTGCAACCCTGCATGCTAGGGAATGTTGCAGTATTGCAATAATGTGATGAAAGACAGTACTAACAAGTTAATGAAGTTACAACGGTTAATATTATTCATTATTCATTATTACTATTATTATTATTATTATTATTATTATTATTATTATTATTACTGTTTATAGGCAGCATTGACCAAATTGTTATTACTGTCATTCCTCTATACAATCTTCATTGCAAATTGTGCATGGAAGTAATTAATAATCATGAATATCATAATTAATATGAGGTCTTTGTTTTTAGTAATAATACCAGGCTTCGCTGTGAGCACTCCCTCAAACGCTAATCAAGTCAAGGATCCTTATATTTTTTGTAACTATATAGACAAAATTACCCTTGCTTGCAGGCTGTACGATGGTGTAACTAATGAAGGATTGGCCTTTAATTCTGATCACTTTGTAGAATGGAAAAAATCTTTTTGGATTGTGTTTTACGCATATGCTATACCTCTGAATCACTCCTTGACTCGCATTGATATATACTACTACAGTAATCCATCCTTAGGATATGGGCTGTATGGAATGTCTCGTCTAAAAGTGTTTACTTTTCATCCTTATGTTGATCATATTCACTTCACGTTCATTAATAATTATGAAGTATCCCAGTCTGATAATGACACTAGGAAGCTTTCAATGATTGCACTCGACCCAAAGCCACTTACTAATGAGCACACATTTAATTATTACATTGGTTTGAATTTTTTTCTCACTTCATCAGATCTTGTAACTCAAACTTTGATCAGTGAAATAAGACTCTTTACAGACAAAGGTAACTACACTAATGTGCATATTATGCTCATGCATGATCATGACTCCTTATTTTTATAGATCCTATTCCTTTTCCTGCTGTTCCAATCGTATTCAAGTCTCCTAATGAAACACTGCTGCTTGATAGAGTACAGTCATCTCTTAACTTATCCTGCACAGTTGTTAATAATGGAACCTTTAATTGGACTTGGACTGGTCCTGGAGTTAGTAATGGAGTGATTAAAGTAGCAGATACCACTAGGACCAGTATATTGATGTTATCTAATATCAGTGCTGCTGATGCTGGGAACTATACTTGCTCTGCCTCTTATCTAGCAATGGGTGAATCAGTATGGGGTGTCATAGAACCCAACACAAATACAAGAACTATCAATTTGATACTGTTTAGTAAGTTGACTTGAAAATTTACCATAAATGTACAGATAGTACTTATACCAATGCAACTAGTGCCTATTATGATATCATAATTTCATTCTACATTATACTTAACAATAATTATTATAATAATATTTGCAATGCATGAAATTTTACTCACAGCAGCAATAACTAGAAATAGTTGCTAATATCCACAATATTGCATGCACACTCATGAATGCAGATTAATTGCACGTTCTTATTTCTCCTATGACACAATAGGTAGTGTATCAACACCAGCTGATACTGTGATTGTAGGAGAAGGGAATGATGCCACACTATCATGTCTTTTCACTGGATACCTACCAAAATATTATGGAGTTTCTTGGAGTGGCTTGATACCTGCAGGAACTGAATTTATGGTTGACAATCTCGAAAACACTCGGTATAAGATTCAACATGGCGGTTCTTCTACTAGTCCAGGTGTAAAGATTATCTTAGTAATAAAATCAGCTAAAGTAGCTGACAGTGGTCTTTATACTTGCAGTGTGAGTGGTACTACACTGAGGAAGACTATATTACTCATGGTTGTCACACAAAAAAAAATTTGGCAAGTAGAGCTAGAATGAACTAGAAATGGGTCTCTTAAAAGAACTGAAACATTCTTTGACATTAATGTCATCATAATTAAAATTAGTTTGAACTAGGGCTAGAATTTTAAATAACATTTAAAGCTAAGTCTGAGTGAAATTGCCTAGTTAAGAGCATGTACAAATATGCCAATTAAAAGAAAAATACCACAGGCTCTGTTCCATGCAAAAAATGGCTCAAAAACACCCCCCCCCATTTTTATTACGTTTTTTGAAACAAAATATAATTGAATGGCTCTTTTAAAACATTCCCATATTATTATCAAAAAATAAATTACAATGACAATATCGATTCTGATTTAAGTGATCGGGTAGCCATGCACTCTTGTTAATATTTAGACCTCAGTCTTAGCTCCATTGATGAATCAGAAACCAGCTTCCAAACATACACACCTTCATTGAATGTACTAGCTGCCAGTCTGTAAAGGAACATTAAATAATCTCATTCCCATACCCTGTAATTCCATACTCACGTTTCAGGACTGGGACTGACTATTCCTGATACCGGCCCTGCCCCTCCACCAATGTACTCGCTCAAAACAGAACCTGTAATCAACATAAAAATTATTACCAATAAATAACTAACAAAAATTAATGTCCTGCATTTGGTACTTATGCAAACAAAATTACACATATACATGTATGAGTTTCCAAATAAACTTTGCAATTGGGTAGAGCTGCATGCATAAATTAGAACTAATTCTTTATATTAAGAATAGCTCCACCCAACAGCAGAAAACAGTTAATTATTCAAGATACATACCTCCAGTTGTTGTACTCCATATCTTGACAGTGCTGTCGCTGGAACAGGAAGCAACTCTAAAAAATAAATGAGAAGATTAAAAGTATAATGATACTCAGAGAAAAATAATGAAAATAAAAAATGGATATAAAAACTGAGAGAGCAGTGAGTTCATGTTAAGTCAATAACAAATCACTAACAGTTTGTCGTTGGACGAGTCGTTATCAAGGAAGAGGCAGCCATTTACACTTCCCTTGTGACCAACCATTTCTTTAAGTGGGCCCTTACTCAGTACTCTCCTGTCCCATAGCTAGAGGGAGAGAGAGAGAGAGAGGGGGGGGGAGAGAGAGAGAGAGGGGGGGAGAGAGAGAGAGGAAGGGAGAGAGAGAGAGAGGGGGAGAGACAATTTTAATTGTGACTAGTAAATTACTGTTAATACCATATAGCTGGAAAGCTTCGTGGCCAAGAACTTTTGTGGTTTGGAATGACACCACAAAATTAAAAACCACGAAATTAAAAACCATGAAATATTTGCAGGTTGATGAGAGTTGTGGATGCTTCACTGATGATCCACGGAAATAAAAACCACAAATATACTGGGAGCCACCAAACCACAAAAGTTTTTTGCCATGAAACTTTCTGGCTATATCTATATGGTATCTCACTCGGTGCTAATAATGTGAATAATTAATAAGTAAAATTTCCCAAAATGTTAAACCTCTCAATTCTTACTGTTAGTTCAGCCCCTTCTCCTTGTCCATGCCCTCCACTCCCTCCAAGCAAATAGTATCCATTAGGATCTGATGTACAACATAACTAAAGAATGAGAGTGATAGAGAGAGAGAGGAGAAGGGAAAAAAGAGAGAAGGAGGGAGAAATGGATACAAAAAGAAAAGGGAAACATGCTGTCTCTTATTTTAAAGAAATCAGGTATTTTTTAGCTATGCACAATAGTCAAGGTGTGACATCATTTTAAATAATTATACCGTAACTATTGTCATGAGACCCACCTTAATTATGAAGCAAAACACACAAAACACAACAAACAGCACCTGCCACCATTCCTATACTTCCCGCCCACTTATAAACCGACCACATGCGTGTACGTGTACGCGACTTTATGTGTACATACATGTATATGTACACGTACATGTATACGTGTAACAACATAAGTACAGCTCATTGACAAACATGGCATTCAGTGTGAGCTTTGTTCTTTCCGGTTTAATCTGGCTTGTCTTGTCAACACTAGTTTGATTTGCTTTCAAAATGGATGCATCAACAATACGCATGTACATGTACATGTACTGAGTGACAGACTTCCATACTTGGGCATTGTAAGCTACAATAAAATAAACTATAAAAAGTCAACCTCTGTCTCTCCCTCTCTCTCTTCCTCCCTCTCTCTCTCTCTCTCTCTCTCTCTCTCTCTCTCTCTCTCTCTCTCTCTCTCTCTCTCTCTCTCTCTCTCTCTCTCTCTCTCTCTCTTTCTTGTTTATTACTATATCCAATTTCATGTGAAATGTCTGAGATTATGGCTTCCATTTTTCTGTCCCTATATGACGTACATGTACATGTTTAAATACATGTAACGCTAGTTGAAACATCAGACAAATAAAATTACGCAGGGAAAGACATTCACTTCCTATTATACTCTAATAAGGTGAAAAGATCTCTCCCTCTTAACAAAACAATACATAAATGTACTGTATTACAAAGAGTATTTAATACACAAAACACAACTACTATACTACTTGATACTACCACAACTACTGTTTAGACTGATGAAATAATAATAACACTACAAGGGATTGTTGCACGTATTGGATTATAGTGTTGAATAAGTTTCTATATATAGTATACGTTTCCTTTGATCTAAAATTTCACCAAATTTGTCCACACGATTAACAATCGACTTAAACTACATGTACATGTACATGTAAATAGCCACACCCCCAACCTGTATATGTTTTTTGGGCGGAGTCTGCTGTGTAACAGAGCATGTATTGACGTCCCATACTCTGAGGGTTTTATCTTCACTTGATTGAAGGACACAAGACGAAGTGTTACTGTCGCCTTCTTCGCCTCCTAACCATTTCATATCTGTAACCTAAAATAATAATAATAATAATAATAATAATAATAATAATAATAATAATAATAATAATAATAATAATAATAATAATAATAGTAATAATAATTTGTTATTTGTCTCACAAGATTGCGTGATATTTCTTGATGTCTTAGTGATTTCTGAGTCTCAACGTCCCAAATGTGAACAGAATTATCCCGAGATCCTGAAACCAGCAAGTTACTGTGAACTAAGAGAAAGAGGGAAGAGGGACAGAAAAGAGAGAGAGAGTGAGAGAGTGAATCAAAGGAGAGAAAAATACAAAACATCATACAAAATAAACTAACACTTGTTCGACGCTAGCCCCGTAACTGACAGCGAATGCTTAGCCAGTGTAATGGAGGGAGGTACGAGAACGACACTGGTAGAGCCCATCGGCCATTTCCAACCACAAATCTGACCACACCTACCACCAGCGAGCAACCATTGTGACGTCGGATTATAGACAACCTAGAAAAATATAATAAAGAACAAAAAAGATAGCTAGATGGGTATGCTAAGTATAGCCGTTACCTTTACGGCAGCTTTTTGAGGCATATAGAATTCGTTTAAAATGGAATGCTGGGTCCAGTCGTACACGTAGATCCACTGAAAAGGAGGAAAGTTAGCATTTTTCTACTTTAAAATAACATCTTTACTGTGTTTGTTGACCAAGATATGAGAGTCGAGGAATTTGCAACCGAGAGCCCGCTTACAGGCTCTGGATGCATGGACTTGAATTGGACTTCTCCTCTCTCTTTTGCTCCTGGAGAGACGAGGTAAGGGAGAGACGGGTCTTGCTCTGTTTCTTCTCTATTTCTGGTCCTCCTTGATGATAAAAAGGCACCCATTTTCGAGGTGGGAGGAGGAGAAGGAGGAGAAAGGGAGGAGAGAACAAAATACTAGACTTAGTAGACTAACGGGACACTACCTCGCGCATGGGTCTTTTTAAAGCAGGAGAATACCCCTCTCTATCTCTTCTCTCTCTACCTCAAAGCAGTAGCATAAACTCTTCTAAGATTCAACAGAAATCAGAGACCACCTCAAGCCATGTCCATGAACTTCAAGCGGGCCTTGCTTCGCATATCCCAGGAGATGAGCTCCAGGGACTTGGAAAACTTAAAGTTTGCCTGTAGAGACGTCATACCAGAAGCTCGCCTGGACTTTATCCACTCGCCTAAAGATGTCTTCCAAGTACTGGAAGAGAAAGGCCTCCTGGCCACGGACAAGTTAGAATATCTCACAAGACAGTTGATAGACATCAACCGGCGACAACTTCTCTCGCATTTCGAGTCTTTCGGCTTCCAAATTCCAGAGCAGACCTCCTCTGGCCCGAGTACAGGAATAGAAGACCAGTCCCTGAACTCAATAGACTCGCATTTTACCCGCTGCCTTCTTGCCCTCTCCCAGAAACTAACAGCAGAGGAAGTTGATCGTCTAGCATTTGCCTGGTGTGGAACACACATAAGCCTTAGCCCTGACCGGATATTCTCAGCACATCAACTCTTCACTTTAATGAGCCGTAAAATGATCCTCAAACCAGACAACCTCCAGGTCCTTTATCTAGAGCTAAGCGAGATGGGCCGACAAGACCTTTGTAAAATCATCGAAGACTACTACCAGGTCATTGGTGCAGGTTATCATGGTAACTATCCTCCTCTTAACGGACATAATTTCGTTCCCTCTCCTTCGCCAAGCAGCACTTATGGACGAGAAGGTAAAGATGCATGCGTATAATGTACTTAAAATACCTACATACCATGTGTACATTACATATGTAAATGGACATAAATTCACATAATTACTGTGTATTTCCAGAGTGTATTTAAAGGGGGCGATAGATGGATTGAATGTATCGGCTAATAATTTGCTGTGTCATTCTTTACTCTGTGTCCACCCAGCTGTTATGTGTGTGTGTGTGTGTATACGTACGTACATGTACGTGTATGTATGTTCATGTGTCTCACTGCATGTTTTGTTATCGCTTATCGTTGTATCCCTTTTTCTCAAAACTGAAAATATTACTTTGTTTGCTTTGGTTGTGCAATAAGAAATTAAAGCTAAATAGCTGTTTTGATTCGGTCCCTACAATAGTACTGTACACCAGTAGGTCACTATACTATTAAGTGATGGATACAATCAAGAGTAGATAATTAGTTAGGGAGAGTGTCTAACCGCCCTATAGTAGCTGAAACATCACCGCGTAGTCTTTTTTTGCTTATCTCTGGGCATTTCCGCATACTTGGATCAGTAGTGGAGTTTCAGAATTCTATTCTTATGTATGGGCGTGTAATTAATAACCTTATTAACCTGTAAAATGGCGGCCGAGTTTGTGCTACATGAGGAAGATACAGCAGACGACTATTCTGTCACTGATGTATTTCAATACTTATCTAACAACTTGAAGGGGTTCATAATCAATAAGTGTTTCTTCAATGATCAGGAATGCCTAATACTTACTCATGAGAAGCTGTTCCATCATCCTCCACTGGGACCACGTGTATAGGGTGTGGGTAGTTATGAAAACCACACCTGTCACTCCACATGTTTCATAAATTCATTCCTATTCTTCTAATAATCTTCAGCATCAGACAGTGTGCCTCGGGACTCACGTGACTTAGTTCTACGCGGTGATGTTTCAGCTACTATAGGGCGGTTAGACACTCTCCCTAACTAATTATCTACTCTTGATACAATGTACTTGTGCTATCTTAGGTTTTATGCCATTACAATGTAAAATTATAATGTTGTTAATATTGTATAAGAAGCAATGTGAAATTATATTGTTAATATTGTATAAGAAGAAATGTATTATCATGTTGTTACTATTATGTAAGGATTAGAGAATTTCTTTGGTTAAAGTACAATACAAAATACTGCCCACTTTATTTTCGCATTTCTAATTGCGTCACTTCCATGCAATATCACAGAACTATACAGAAGCCATTTTCTGGAGCTACATGCATATATCATCCAAAGGGTATTTTATGTGATGGCACGACTAGGCATGCAATACCCTCACACACACATTGGAGTTGAGAAAGGGGAGGAGGTGCAGTGGATATATGAGGACTTTGGACTTTGATATTTATCAAAAAAGCTTATAATGAAATTAGAAGCTCTGATAAAAATGATAGATAAAAATATCATAAGTGTATCTTTATTATTCTAAACTTTACTCCAACAATAGCAAACCTCCATATTTTACGCAACTCAAAACAAACCCGTCAATTGTTAACAAATTTGTTCATCTCCTGTAGAAAGCATTAGCTGGACACTCACAGTACAACTATGTATGTATTCAGGGAGACCACACAAGACAATTAAGCAACGATTGCATTATGAGAATTCTACTGGGAAATATCTATTATAAATTATTATAGATTCATGCTACACTCCAGTGTTATTAGAATTTCAAAGCTTCTCTGTGCTTCAAAGCTTTATGCATACTTTTGTAAGCCTACATGTAACTTTATCTACATATGTGTAAATGTAATGTACACTATGTGAATTGGATTTTGTGTAAAAATTCTCAGCCCATTTAGTCATTCTGAGGCAAACAAAGATCATTTCTGAGTACATGTACTTGTACATGTACATGTATAAAAGATATAGAATGTAGTAGAGTGTCCTATTGTTTATCCAAGTGCATTAATTGTTTGATTTTTATAGCTTTGATATTAAATGTCAGTTTCCTATAGTATTGATTACATCATACATGTCAGCATAATTATTATAATTATGCGTGTAGTTTAAGAGAAGGTCCAATCTTGTTATTTTTAAATTAGTTCTCACTGATTATTGGGGGAAGAATTTAAATTGGAATGAATATTTGGCAGCTGTGGTATCCAGCTCCATATTAGAGCATGCTTGATTGTTAGAAAATGTAAATAAATAGAAAGTATTATGTGAATGGTATTTAGTCTTGTGTAACTGTAAAGTGCTGACCGCCTACACTTTTAATTAAAAGATAACGCGTTACATTGCTAGTGTGAATTGTCGATTCCTTATTTGGTGGCTGTATTTGTCTCTTGTGTAATGATTGTACCTTCAGTTTTTGAACATAAGGACAAGGTGTTTAAAAATGCTCTAATTTTAAATAACTTTAATCATAGAAATTGTATAAATTTCTCTGCAATATAGAAATAATTATTCCCTTATTAAAAATAATTATTCACTTTTTATAATAATATTATATTACATTTAAAATGTAGCGTTTTCCACAAAGCATGCCAAGTGGGCTAAACAGCTTTTAAGGTAACTTTAAAAATTTGTAAAAAAATCCAAATTTGATCGGAATCAGCTCAAACTTGCTACACAACATAAGAACATGTATATGTATCAGAAAATATTATTAAATTGGAGAAATCTCTCCTAGTAATTTTTGGTGAAATTTGGCTTGAGACCCTGTACTATAGTACAGGGACTTTGGCCTGATTTTTGAGTAACTTTAAAAATTCATGAAAAATCCAAATTTGATCGCAATTTGTTCAAACTTGCTACACAACATAAGAACTTGTATGTATATCAAAAAATACAAAAATGAAAAATTCTCTCTTAGTCATTTTTGGTGAAATCTGGCCAAAGATCCTGTACTATAGTACATGGTCTTTATATGCATAAAAAACTATAAAAATGGAGCATGTAGCTGTAATATTAAATGATGATTTGTTACTTAGCACTATGCCGAAATCTTTTGAGAAATTTAAATGACACTTGTCTTCTTTCTCCCTCCTTCCTCTCTCTCTTTCCTATTAGATAGTCAGTCAGGTTATCCATACAACCCGTCACAAGACCATTACTTCCCTCACTGCACTCGCCCAACAGATCTGACCTTTTCTTCCCCGAGGACGAGCATGAGTGACCTCACATCTCAAATATCTCAACTTCACCTCCTTCCAGCAGGGAGTTCCCCTCAAGTGGGCGGAGTCTATAACGGCAGAGATCACACCGTGGGCGTGGTTGATAACGTGGTACAGGCTCCTACCCAACCTCCTGGTTACGGCGAGTATCGTCCATTATCAGCTGCTAGTAGCAGTCACGATGGTTCGCCTAACGTTGCAGTTCATTATAACGGGACTGGATACCCTCAAGGCCGACACAAAGAAGACAGGGAGGGTCATGAAGGTTTCCCCCCACAGATACTAGAGGAACATAATCCTCCCATTCACTTCAGCGGACAGAGAGGCGCTCCTCCACCTACAGCTGATGATTTAAACCGACAGAATGAAGTACAGACCCTCCAGCAGGCCTTGCAGGAGAAGAACGATGAAGTGAACGAGTTGAGAGGATTCATTGCTAAGACTAATCCTGCTCCGACTGGATCGCTCCTGCACGAGGATTTGTATTCGATGACCAAGGATCCTCACGGGATTTGCCTCATCATCAATAATTACAAGTTCTTTCAAGTTGACGAGCAATATGACTGCCTCAACGATCGAAACGGGGCCCAGAAAGACCAAGAGAACCTCATGGAAACCTTCAGCTTCTTGAAGTACAAAGTCGAACTTCACGAGAACCTCAGCTCTGACATGATGGTAGACATTTTGAAGGAGATAAGTTCTCGGGATCATTCAAACTACGACAGTTTCGTGTGCTGCATATTGACACACGGCGAAGAGGGACAGGTTTTTGGCGCCGACAGCAAACCAGTTAATCTCCAAGACCTCACCGGTATCATGAAAGCAACCTTCACACGATCTCTCATCAACAAGCCAAAGCTGTTCTTTGTTCAAGCGTGTCGTGGAGACGGAGAAGAAAAGGGAGTCCCTATTGAGAAAGACGGTAATGCGAGTCTACCTGTTGAGGCTGACTTCCTTTTTGGTTATGCTACACCGACTGGAAAGGCAGCTTACCGAAGCAGACGACATGGGTCATGGTTTATTTCTGAGTTATGCCAGGTGTTCATGCAAGATTCGAATCACCTTCCCTTAGGGGCAATGATGAAGAAGGTCAACAGGAAGGTTTCTGATGCTTATACTAAGGAAGGATTCAAGCAGTGCACTGAGGTTGTCGATCGGTTGAGGAAAGACGTGATTTTCTTTTCCGAGACTGAAAGCAAGACTGTGTGATTTCGAATTTTATTTTAATATTTTTTTTTCATATTTTCTCTCCAGCTGCTTCAAGGGATTTCATTTCATTGTACATTATTATCAATAAATATTATTCAATGCTGTTGCTTTTTCTAATTCTTTTATTTGTTATATTTTATAATAATTCAATACTGTTATAGTTTTTGTTTGTAATTTTGGCAAATTAATAATAATAATTATTAATGAATTTTCACATAACCACATTCTCAATTTAGCCTCAGGCTATATGCCCAGCTTGACTGCAAAAACTAAGTAGTGAAACAACCCATGGGTGGGTTAGCTCAGTTTCACTAAACAATAGACTTCCCGGAAACTGAGGTATAAACCCTTTAAGGGTAGTTTTAAAGCTGTGAATCTGTGATGGGTGGAAGTAGATGCCATTATGGATACTCTGGTATCCATACATGACCATGATCCCACGGGATGACTGTGAAATCAGTTATTTTAGGTCGAGGATTTTGTATATATATAGATCTAAGATGTTATGACATAATCCAATGAGTCGTGAAACCATGCTTGACAGAGTCAATCAGCCTGTCTTGGCTTTGGTCCTCCTCTGTCCTATAGTTCCGGCAACCATACTACGACCGGCAGCCGTCATAAAGTCATCATGCATCACGCAGGACACACGCCTTTGTTTTAAAAAGGTCTATAAAATAAACGAGCTGCCACAAGTCTCTATAATCACACAACATTATCATCATGGAGAGAGACATGTTCCAGCGCTATCTGAAAGAGCTAGCTGAGCAACTTGGCCCCTCCGACCTCCTAGAGCTGCCCGGCATATTGATTAGACGCGGACTCCTTCCCAATCATCATATCTCGGTAACAGGAAAGGGTCCCTCCATATCAGAGCTTGTAACTTCATTTGAGGTCCTTTTCCTCTACCTTTCCGAGCAATCACTCATCTCCTGTCATGATATAACTCTTTTAAAGGACATACTAGACGATTTATCCAAGCCATATCTTCTCTATCCTTTCTATGAAGCATGCATTGGGAAAAGACAATTGTCATCCAATGGAAGCAGCATCACAGCCATAAGCAATGTAGCACCCAGTAAGAAAAAAACTCAGGAAGATTTTGCTCTACTCCTCCTACAAATCGGAAACCGACTGTCATCAGAAAATGTCCGAACCCTATGCTACCTTCTCCAGGACCTCCTGTCTCGTTTCAAAGCAGCTATAATTCAAGACGGAGTCGAGGTATTACAATACGTGAAGCAAAGGCACTTCATCACTCCAGCCCAGCCATGCTTCCTTTTAACTCTTCTCAGAGACATCGACAGGGAGGACCTGTGTCACATTGTCGAGGAATACAAAATGACTTACTTGGATCAAACAACTCCCCCTCTTCACTCAAGCACCGAGACCATCGACATCAGGTCACCTCAAGCTTGCTGCTCTTTCTTCTCTGCCAGAGCTTACTTCAAGAGCAAGAAACAAGAGGACGAGGGTAATAGTTACACGTGGACCAGAAGAGAATATCGTTTTAGGCTCGCCATAAAGAAGCTAGCTGACAAGCTTTGTCCTCGGGACCTTGCAAGCATGAAGCTTTTAGCTCAAAGCTTCATACCTCCAGCTGAATTGGACAAGATTGAAACAATAATAGATTTATTTTGGCTACTGGAAGATCATGGGAGGCTCTCGATAGATAACCTGTATATACTAGAGGAGCTTCTAGACGAGAAAAACCATCTACTTAATTCAATTTATTTGGAGCTATCGTCTGGTTCTTCACAGCCTAGCAGTCGGGAAAACTCGCTCACCAGAAGAAAGAAACACAAAGTGGTTCCTAGAGACGAAACCAAATCCGAGACAAAGATTGAGAACTCTTTTCAAAAGATGCTCAAATGCATTGGCTCTGGTCTCACCCAAAAAGAAACAAAACACTTGAAAGTATTGGATACAGCCCACGAGGAGACTAGCATTAAAACGGGGATCGAGCTAATGTACCACTGGAAGAAAGTCAGGGTAATCACAGAGAGAAATCTCGACCTCCTACGAAAAGGCTTATACGCTATAGGAAGACAGGACCTGTGCCAACACATCAGTGAGTACCACTCAGCTGTCCAGTTAGCAGAACCTAATCCTTGTCTACCTATAGAAGGTAAACAACTGGTGCATGACATTGTGTAGAATAGTACTATAATTCAATGTTTGCATATTGAATCACCACACACCCACACACACTTAATTAGTTCATGTACTTAAGCCATTCCAGTGCTTACTATGCATACTTTATCTGCTTACAAGCATAATTCCCTCTTCCTCTTTATGCTTATACAGAAACTGTAACTGATGGTTCTCACAACGTCACACAGACCTGCCAAAAGGAAAGAGAGAACTCACCAATAGCTGGCCTCCAATGCACAGAGAATTACAAAGAAACAGATATGAAGGTTGACTTCACGAAAGAAGAGCTGACCATTCAGCTCCAAAAAAAGGATAGACTGATAGAGATACTCAAGGAGAAGCTAGGAGAGCAGGAGACTGCCTTACAACAGAAAGACCATGACAATAAGCAGTTGGAGCATCAGAATCACAGGCTGCTACTACACAACCACGAACTGACTGTAGAAGTTGCAAAACTTGAGAAGCAACTCGATACCAATCTGCTAGCTACAAATGCATCAAAGAACGGGATATTCCTTAGCACACCAGTCTGACCATAGATATATCTATGTTTTAACATTCAATATGCATAACTCTATTACAATTTACACTCAATTTCTTTCCTGTCATTATTATTGTTATTTAATTTTTAAAAATACTTCTATTGTAAACACAAAGCTCAGCATAACTTATAAAATAATTATGGCGGATACAGGAAGCATCATCACCAAACAGAGCCCATACACTTTATATACAATTAGTTTCAATTGATGTTTACTGTTGACTCATGATTATCAGCTAAATATACAGCATGTTTTCAATGAGAGAATAGCTCTTATTTTGATGGGCTTTTGCTCAATGGCTTCTTCCAAAACAATGAGTTTATGATCTTCATACTTAGAAAAGTTAATTTTGTTAATTTTATTATTTTTTGCAAAATTACAGATTTTGAAATACACAGTGCAATAGGGTAAATTAGTGTGGGTGTTTTGTGACATCACCAATCATGAGCTTTTATGATAAAATGGACATGCAGTGTTGCTAATATTGTCATTAAGTTCAATTTAAACAAAATTAACCAATAAAAATGATGAGCAGTAATGATTTGATATTATATTATAGCTGCCATCAAGCAGGGAATTTACAAGTCATTCAAGTCAATGGCTGCTTCATCCCAGGGGCCGTGAATAGTACTAGAAAAGAGAAAAACAACAAAGACATTATTCATGAGAAAAATACATAGACAACAGATGCTTCATAGACTCGACTGCCACTGGACAATGATTTGAACCCTTTGCACAATAATAAAAGCATTATTCCCTTAAATGTCCATGGAATGCGTATTATTAATCCCTTAGAGCAGGAGGGAATGTTGAACAGGAACCAACTGTCATACTCATCAAAGAAAATATTTGTATCTCTAACTGATATTAAAAAAATAAAGCATCCAGTAGGCTGCAAGAGTCACTATTCTTCAGTGAACATGTAACAATTATCTACTATTTTAGCCAAATTTTTCCTTTGTTATCAGCTTCAAAGAATAAGGATCATAGCTAAGTACATATGGGAAATACAACTTTGACAATTATGACGAATTTTTTGGTCTGTAGGCAGTGTCCTAAACCCTAAACCCTCATACTAATCACACAGAATATAACTAATTTTCAAAGCCTGTACTATACAAAGGCCATTATTCTACCATTCACATGTAACAATGAACTCTGTACTATTGTAGACAAATTCTTCCTTTGTTTTCAGCTTCAATAAATAAGGAAGTACACATGGAAAGAATCACTTTGGCCAATTTGTTGCTTTGTATAGCCAGTATTCTATATAAGTACGTGTACATGTAAACTTTACCCAAATAAGTATAGTTAGCTGCTTACATGACTTCAGTGAAGTTGCGTGGTAGATTTTGGTCTTAAGTCATAAAAGTGTCTGGCACTAGACCATATATTCAACATGAAGTAATAAATACAAATACCAAAATCTTTATCACAAAGGGAAGGAGATACATGATAGTAGACACTCATGTGTAAGAGTTCTTACACCATCAAATTGTAATGGGAGCATTGTTGTAGCATTTTAAAATCTTTTTTGGTACTCACTTTCTTAGAAATTGTAGCTTGACAAAAGCAACAAGGCTGACAACTAGCACAAAATGACAGAATATGAATACAAACAACGGGCCATAGTCAAAGTGAGTGGAGAGTAGGGTAATGACAAGTAGGAACAAGAAGAGAGTGAGGGCTTGGAAAAACAGGTAGCTCTAGAAAAAATATATTTATAAAATTATGAAGATGCAACACAATGTACTAATAGGTAGTAATTTGAATAGCGATAAAAACAAAAAATATCACTAATGACATGTACTGTAGTAGTCTCGCCCCGCCCCTTCGCTTACAGTAACAATTTGTATGATAAATAATAATAATAATAACTTAGATCAATAGAAAGCAAATATTTCTAGCAACATATGGCGCATAGTACTAATAATAAGAATAATCAACAGCCACACCTGATATTTACACTCAGTGTTGGCATATCGAGTGTCATTTCACTCATTAATGTTTTCATAACAACTCCCTTAATTACTACGGCAAAAAGAATAACCTGGCTACACAAACAAGTGGGAGGACTGGATTCAAGCTTCAATGAACTATCTGTCTACACTAGTCACATGCTCTCTGAAACATGGACAGACGAACACGAATTACTATAGCTACATCATCATATGCATTAGCAGTCAAGACAGTTATTTTAGCAATAGATCAAACCAATTTACCGTATATAGGAGGAATTTTCGGTGGGGGTTCGATCTGTGTTTCCATACCAGAATGAAAGTGCATTTTTAACCATTACACGCATGCTCAATTTTAAAAGTCGTCGATTGCCAAAAGTTAGCAATTCACCATATTTTGTGCTGTATATGGTATATCAATAATAATACTGAACAAACACATTGTTAATTGGCAGACAGAGAGCAGGCAGGATACAAAATTAAGTTAAAAAAAGATTCATTTTAAATTTATATCTTACCATTCCGCTGTTACAATGGTTCCTTAACTGAGGAAGGAGAGCAAATAAAATGACAGCAAAAAGTATCAGAGAAAATGCATGAAGAGATGAAGGGAGTCTTGAGACGAGACAGACTACAGCAAAAATGGCTGCATTTAAAGAAAACGCCTCAGAAACTCTAGAGGAGAGAAAAAGGGGGAAAGAGAGAGAGAGGGAGGGAGGAAGAATGATACAGTGTGTGTGTGTGTGTGTGTGTGTGTGTGGATGTGTGTGGGATAGAAACTGGAAGTAAAATCACAAAAAGTTAATTTGCTACATGTACATTTGTACATAACATTTCCATGTAATGTGTCCCTTATAAACATTATAGGGTGACTACACTCATAGTCAAAACAAGAGAGCAGGAAAGAATTAAGCACGACCTTTCTACATACATGTACTGTACATGTACACACACATGTGTGCCCACATGCCATCAAAGATACGTGTACATGTACGGGTGTTATTAAACATGTACATGTACATGTACGGGTGTTTAACATGTACATGTATGGGTGCTTACATGCTTCGTGGGTTTGTTGATCTTATTAAGTTAATGGAATGCAGTGAACGTGTACGTACAGGTGCATTTCCAGTGCTCTTAAAGGATGGAAATGATGTCAAAATGTCCGTGTGCATAAAATAGTCACGACTGATCTGTATGGGGTATGAAATAATTCCGGCTATTCAAATCACATGTACATGTACATGTAGCATTAATTAGCATGTTATCGACTTACAAGACTCTTTCAATTCCATATTTGTGGAACACGAGATGAGCAAGGAAGCTCGTGTACAAGGTGAATTACTAGTACTCTTAAAGGAATAAAATGAGCTCAAAATGTTTGTGTGCATCAAAATAGTCACAAATGATATGTAGGGGCATGAAATAATTCCGGCTATTCAAACCACATGTGCATTACCAGTGATCTAAAAGGGACACATTCACAGAAGCACATCATCTTGAAAAACTGGCTGGTTTTTCAAGATGACATCATTAATGATAACGTGTAGTGTTGATAACTATTCATAACAAACGGCCGCGCCCCTAAAAATTAAGGCAAAACGGCTACTCGAGTGGTTACTTGTAAATATTCCTGGTGTTTCTTCACTAAAAAGAGTATCTTGGGGTAGCAAAAGAGCTAATTCTGGTCAAGAGAAGTGTTCTACAGATGCCTACTCCTGGTTCTATGCCTGATTGCTCTGTCTCTACTCTCTAAACGTGTTATAACTATTAATTAATGATCTGTTGCATGCCCAATTTAATGTTTACTTCCTCTACAGTAACGTGTGCATCTATTTCCGTGAACATGTCCCTTTAAAGGATGGAAATGACTTCAAATGCCTGTGTGTATGGATTAAGAATGACTAATGTGTGGGGGGCATGAAATAATTCTGGCTATTCAAATCACGTGTACATGTACATGTAGCGTTAATTTGAATGTTATTGACTCACAAGACTCCGTCAATTCCATATTTGTGGAAAGCAAGGTGAGCAAGGAAGCTGATGATCTAACAAAGGGGAGAGAGAGGGGGGAAAAAGGTCATGGGAACAGGAAGTCAGGACAATACAAGTATAGAAGACGAGAGAAAGTATTTGTAGAATACTAATAATAATACAAATTTTTGAGATCATGTGTCTTTCCTGACTTCCCAGGTTACTGTATACATTTAGCAAAAACTATTAATGCCGTATATAGGTTTCTTTATATAGAGGAAATTTTCAATACCGATAGGGGTTTCTTTATATAGAAGAAATATTGTCAACACCATATGGTCAATACTGTATGGGTCAATACCATATAGCATTTATAAAATAGATGCTTCTTTTAAACCATATAGGGGTTATATTTCACTGGAAATAAATTTCGCTAATTTCGCGTTTTCATTAAATTTGCAAAATCGAATTCCACAAAAGAGGCGTGGCACACTAGAAAAAATAGTCGCAGAAGGTAAGATTTGCCGACAATTTATACCAACAAAATGAAACAAAAGCAAAAAAAATTTATCCCCACTCTTTTATTAAGCTATGGTAGATCAACGTGCATTCACAAAAAAGAAAATGGAGGTTTCACTGCAAAAATATTAAGCCTCAGAAAACTCTAGTTACATGTACAGATTTGTAAAAATATCAAATAAACCCATAGTTTTGGCACAATGTTACTTAATGATGCATGTCTTTTAAAATGATGCTATATTACGTAGTCTGAAATTTTTGAGAGTTGTAAATTCTACGAATTCACCCAAAGATCTATCTTCAAGATTTAGTTTTTGTGAATTGACTTGACACTCTTTGCTATCTTGTACTATATTGTTTTCAAGTGTCATCAAAACGTGTAAGTCATAAATCCATGAATTTAACAACCTTTAAAAATTCTGTGCTGCATGCCATATAAAGTGTTTTTGAGGGGAATTGTGCAATAACAACACGTTTACTACTGGCGGTCATTAAATTCTGTTTATGAGACAATGGTTAGCTTCAATAGCAACCAGATGCTAAGTTTATTTTGAACTAAACAGATCTTCACTGTCAGAGTGAAACATGAAAAATAGTGACAGGTATACCTTTTAAGAGAAGAGAAAAGGAGAAAACGATAAAAAAGGAGTCATATAAGGAAGTGAGACGGATGGGGCAATTAGTTAGAGGAGAAAGTAGAGTAAAAGTTGAAAGGTATTTCTGGGAATAATTATACACATGTATGTTTACAATGATAAGCAGTGTCAATAATAATAATAACAATAACAATAATAATAATAGTAGTAGTAGTAAACATATCAATATATGGATATAAAATACATCAGTTTATATTGGACAGGTTATATTACAAGAACAATCATGCAGTGATACCTAAAAGCTTACCATACAAGATGATTTATTGGTAAGGAATTAATATTGGCGATTAGCGGTTCTATAAAGGAACCGCCAATATAAAAATCCGCCATTTTGTTTCAATCTGAGCATGCTCGATGGCACGTGGCACAAAATCACCAATATAAAATTTGCCAATTAACTTTACACGGGCAAATTCGCCAAATATTACTCTCGCCAATAAATCATCTTGTACGATATTCTCAATAATTCTAGCATTTGTTTCTCTACAATTTACACTTTAATCATTATGCATGTATTCAATGGCTTTATTGACTTACATGTACATGTTCCACTTAATTCAGTGTTTACAAACATTTTGCAAAAGTCAATACAAATACTACATGTACATGTACACTGTACATACAATTTTAAGGATTACTTTTCAATTACATGTATATTCAATGGCTTATCTGACTTACATGTACATTTTCCACATTTTGCAAAAATTAGTACATATATAACATGTACATGTACCACATACCACTACAATGTGATCATTGATGCTGGTACATAATTGATAATAGTCATAAAGCAAGTACTGTATTGTACTGGGCTGAGCTTACTTACTGTCATGCACCATAAAGAATCAGTGCTGATGGACTCTGTTAGTGTTCTGAGTATTGGTGAAGTGCCAGATAAGAATAATATGAATAAAACTGATTGCTTTATGCATTCAAAAGAATCACCTAAATAATAATAATAATAATAATAATAATAATAATAATAATGTAATAATAATAATTATTATATTTTGTTTATTTTTTTCTTTTTTATGGGGGAGATTTTTGTTTTGATAAAGCTCTCTTTGTTGTTGTTTTTGTTTTGTTTATAATAATGATGATGATGATGATGATGTTGATGATGATGATGATGATGCTGTTATTCTTCTCTCTCTTTCCTTTTCTTTTCCTTCTTGTTCTACTTGAGATTGTCTCTTCTCCGCTCGTGATGATGAGTGTTTTGACTTGGTTTCTGTTTATTATTTTTATAATATTATATTATATTATTATTTTATGTTAGGCCTTTTCAGCTATATGATTGGAATTTGATTTAGATAATAATAATAATAATAATAATAATAATAATAATAATAACAGTTTTTTAAAATGATGATGCTAATAATAATTATTAATAACATTAGGCAGACCTGGGATCAATTATAATTACAATTACGCATTCAATTGCACTCCTTTTATAAAAATAGACTCAATTTCAATTACAATTACACACATGTATTGGTAACAATATACTTAGGTTGTGCCTTGAAATTTATGTCAGGTAGTTATTCTGGAATTTTAAAGTTATTATATACATGTATGTATCATTATAGTAGTAGACACTAAAGTACATTAAGACATATTTCTTTGTGTATCTGTACAATCTGTAGTTAGTTAACTCAAATATAATTGAAAACTACAGCTACACTAAGTTGAAGCTCAATTACAACTATGTATAATTGTATTATAATTGACACTTAAAATACAATCATAACTGCAATTGATCCTAGGTCTGATATTAAGTCATAATCTACATACATGTACATGGACCCTAACTTGATGATATAATATTCATTGTTATGGCTGAGAGGAGCAAGAGACAAGAGAGGAAGCAGCAAACAGAAATCAATACTAATGGAGAGAGACTAACTGATGTGCTTTCCTCCAGCTGCCAGAACACAGACAAAAACAGGAAAACACTAAAAGGACAATCAACAGACAATGACAATAAGAACTAGAGTACAGACCTTAATCTTTTTGGACCATTGACAAATGCCCTCAAGGCATTTGTCAAAATGGCTCAGGAAATTTGTCGAAATGGCTCAAAAAGAGTAACTATTCATTTCCCAGGTTGATTTTCCTGATACATTGTACATGCTCTTAAGTAGTGTTATAATTCTGATCACAATTGCATTTTTTTACAAATTTTTAAAGTTGCTCAAAATCGGGCTGAAATCCCTGTACTATAGTACAGGGTCCTTGGCCAAATTTTGCCAAAAATGACTAGGAGAGATTTCTCCATTTTTATGATGTTTTCTGATACATATACATGTTGTTATGTTGTGTAGAAAGTTTGAGCTGATTCTGATCAAAGATAGATTTTTTACAAATTTTTAAAGTTGCTAAAAAATTGGGCCAAAGTCCCTGTACTATATAGCACACAGTCTTCGGCCAAATTTCACCAAAATTGAAAAGGAGAGAATTTGCCATTTTTATAAATTTTATAATTTTTTTGATACATATACTTGTTCTTATGCTATGTAGAAAGTTTGGACTAATTCCGATCAAAATTACATTTTTACAAATTTTCAAAATTGCTTCAAAACTTGGCCAAAAAACCATATCGAAAATGGTTGCCCCAAGAATTCTTTATTTCTAGCAATTTTAAATTGTACATGTATTAATGCTACCTGTTCATTTCTTGCAATAAGTATAAAACTACTGGCGACTGAATGACCTCATTAATAGTTTGTATCTCTACAAATACTAAAATAACAATAATAATATTATTATTATTATTGATTTATTTTATTTATTTATTATTCTTTATGAGTTATGACATTAAAAAATTATTTGCTATTCTAAAGGTCTCACAATTATTTTTTAGGTCTTTTCTAAACTGTTCCTCATCTAAATAATTGTCAGGATACTCTTGTCTCTCGTATAAAATTTTCTTCCAAGGTTTTGAACTTTCCGCCATCTTGGATTAATAGTTAATCAATCAAAATTAACCGCCACACCCATTAATTATAAAATGGGTGTGGTAGTTAAGGCGTGGCTTTGCCTTGTGCACAGCTTTCGAGGGGAAATCCCTAAGGACTAAGGAGAAAAGAGAAGCACTCACTTACAATGTCTTTCCCGAAGTTCAGGCTACGGAAGAGCCTCTACTTGATCGGTCAAAACATGGGCGGACACGATCTCAGCAGCCTAAAGTTTCTCTCTGGCCTCCCCAAAGGAAGACAAGAGAAGATTGAGACAGCCTTTGAATTGTTTTGTACACTTGAGTCCAGGGGAGAGATAGACTACAACAAGGACGACGTACTAAGAGAGCTACTAGAATCAAGACACCGTGTACATCTCCTGACTAAATACCCTCTTGACACGCCAGATGATCTTGAGACAGACGCTGGTGGGAGGGTCTACAGTGATCAAGAGATTAAACAGTTAAAGAAGTTTTTGACCGATATCAGTGAGTCCCTCTCGCACAGGGACTTTAAAGATTTGGCTTATTTCCTGTTCGATACAGACGCTACTGCCACTCACGGCACTTATGGTTTTCAAGATATGGAACAAATGTCATCTGCCTTGGATCTCTTTGAGAAACTCATCGCTGCTAAGTTGATCGGGCCTGATAATCTGACCGCCTTATATCAGGTTCTTGAGGTCATTGGGCGGAATGATCTCTGTGTTAAGATTGCTGAGTATTTGCCTCAGTCTGGGGCAGCTAGGAGGCGGAGTCTTAAACTTCAAAGTAATCTCAATCTATGAATGTGTTTATGTCAGTGATTGGGGGAAATTTTTTGTTACAAAATAATAATTGGTGCAAACTGTGAATATATTTTCACTGTTTTGTATTCCCATAATATCTTGATTATTTTGTTGTGGAAATATTAAAATTTCAGCTTAAAAGAAAAGTTATTTTAAGCAATGAAATTTTGTTATCAGTACTGTATAAGTTATGTTGTACTACATGTAGATGTATGTATTGCTTGTTTTGAATATCTTGTTTCATTCTTTCTCCCTTTTATCTCCTCCATTTTCTTTCTTCTTCTCTCTCTCCTCCCTTCTCTCTCTAGGTCTTTCATCGTACGGTTCATCCTACTCTAGTTCCAGCTCTAGTCCCATCAGCAGTAGTATGGAGACAAGTCGTCCAACAACCTCTGCTAGTCACCTAACAACCTCTGCTAGTCACCCAACAACCTCCAGTTCCTCAAACTCTTATTTTTCCAATAGTCCCGCTTCTCCTTATCCTCCGTACTATGATTCTTTTGATAAGATATCCAGGGACGTGGGTAAGTCCCCTCGCCCAAGTGCCCCGCCTACTCTTCCCGGTCCACCTCCTCAGGCTCCAAGTATACCAGTACATACAGGTCATCAGCCTCAAGAGCAGCCGCAACCTCAGTTGAATCTGAACCGCCCTTCACAAATTGGAGCGCATTACATTGTGCCGTCTTCTAATGAACCCACGCCCTCAGCACCCACCCCTATTGCTGATCAACAGTCGATTGGTTATAGACCTCTTTGCCCTCAGGCTCCTACTGCAGCTGCTCAACAAATGGAGTATCAATCATCTCAGGCTCAACCCCAAACCTCACCCGTAGCTAATCACCAGGTACAACCTGTTCCACCACAGGTCACACCCCAAGCCACACCCAATCAATCTTCTCAAACTCCTGCTCCTCCAGTTCAACAATCATTTGTTGGACAAGCTGAATATCCTTCGGGAGAGACAGTGGTGGCAATGGAAGAGGAAGGTCAGGCTGATGAGGAAATGGACACCAGTGCTGCTGTTACTGGTGGGCCACGATCTCTTCTTGAGCAGCTTGAGGATGAAAACCAAACACTCAAAGATATAGCAGTCCAACAGTTTAAATTGATACAAGACCTGCACGAGGAGAAAGAGCAACTGAAGAAGAAACCAACCAATAACAGTACGAGTAACAATACCAGTAACAGTAGCAGTAGCAGTAGCAATATGGAGGGAGTCATTTGTTATGCAATGGATAAGAAACCGCACGGTATTGCCATCGTTATCGGGAACGAGGTCTTCACGAAAAACAAAAAACGTCCTAAACTTGTTTTAGCAGAGCGTCGTGGTTGCCTCTCTGATCTGTATAATTTCAAGTCCTGCTTTGAGGCACTCCAATATAAAGTTCGTACATACGAGAACTGTTTTGCTGGTGATATTAAGAAGATTGTCGATGGGGTATCAAGTGAGGATCACAGCAACTACGACAGCTTTGTTTTCTGCATCTCCACACACGGAGAAGATAATAATTATATATTCGGCTCCGATGGCGAGCGTATCAACGTCTACAATCTCATTGGTCATATCCAGGCTTGCCCCTCTCTACAGAATAAGCCAAAGCTTTTCTTTATCCAAGCCTGTCGGGCAACTCACACAGACGTACCCGCTGTCTCGGGTGATGGTCCCGAGACCGTTCCACCAGTCGTCAATAAAGACGCTGACGTTGCCATATTTTGGGCTACAACAAGGTCGCAGTCGGCGTACAGATCTCCTCGTGATGGCTCATGGTTCGTGGCCTCAATACACAAAGTCTTCACTGCAGAAGCTCACAGACTGGACCTGGTAAATATGATGTACAAAGTGACTCATATTGTCACAGAAATGGAGGGACGGGAGTCTAGCTCGGGAGAAACAGTCAGGCAGTGTGTGGAGACCAGTTTACAAATGAGGGGAGCCGTCTACTTTAATGTAGAATAGAGGAGAGAGTGGGAGACTTTTTGATACGTTTTAGTATCCAGTTACTAACAATTATAATTTGCAATTGATTATCATTATTATAGTTATATTTGCAAAATTTTTGATTGTTTGAGTCTATTGTGATGAAATTGTATTTCTCGTGTGTTTTTTTTGTGAGCTGAAAAAACCTTGTCGTTGATTATCATTATCTCTATAAATATTGTGTATAATTATTATGATTTAAGTTTTTGTAAAAGATTTCTTTTTCCTTCTTCTCAACAGTGCTTGCTTCTTGGCCTGTAGCTCGGAGAATTTACGTTTTTGATACCTAATAAAGAACACGAAATAAAGAAAGAGTTATGAGAAAGTAGAAAACAATTATCATAATTTTTATAGCTGAAATTGTACTAGGACTGCATTTGCAATTTTTAATATTGGTAGCCATACTTCTGTAAACAAAACAAAATTAGACACTTCATAATGATAGATTACCAATTGGCACCAATAATAATTACTTCACTAATATTCCTCTTACTTTTTAAAGTCCTGGTCTGCCAGGAGTTCCTCTACAATTGTCCTCTTTCTCTGCTTCTTTGGTATCCTTGCTGAATAAAACTCACCTGGTCCTTCAATCACACGTCCGACCTTAAATAAATTAAAAAGGGTGTGGTCAAGATGTGACCTGCCCACAATCTCACCTGGAAATACTTTGGTAGTTTTTTCCAATCTGATTTTTTATAGTGATGGGAGCGATCAAGAGTCTCTCTCATTTGGAGGACCTTGAGGTCATTTTTGAGTTCTTCAGTCATTTCCGGAGCAGGCATATCAAACCAGTTACTACCGGCAGACTTTTCTCTTTCCACCTACACATAATAATTAATAAGTATTAAAATTCAATTATAACCTTTCTCATTTTCTTTAACTTGTAACGGGAGACTAAAACGGGCGGGGCAGATTCCTTCTTTTCAAAATCTGAAGTGATGACACTTTTTTTCATAATCTAAGACAGAAAAAAAATTCAGAAAAAAATTTAGAAAAGTCTTCTCCACCTTTACCTCTTCCTGCCTCTTAGTCATTTCTAATGAGACCTTATCCTTTTTTAAAACTCTATCTTTTTCTCCTCTCTCTCTTTCTCCTCCTATGTCTATTCCAGGATCAATCCTTGATGCAAGATCCAGGCCTCTCTTGTCTCCTTCTTTACCTCCAGGGAGGATCAGTATGTCGGGCAGCGAGTGATCAAGTTTGTCTTTTATTTTATCTTTGATGTGATCGAATGCTAACGATGCTAGCTCTTCTGCTGTGTAGTCAGACTTTTCCTGAACCTTGTCTCTAAATTATTATTATTATTATTATTATTATTATTATTATTATTATTATTATTACTATAAATATAGCTGGAAACTTTCACAAAGGGATTAACATGTTATTCAGATTTTAGCAAACTTTATTCTTATTAATCTCAAGACCATAGAAAAATCAGCAAGACTTAAGCCCCTCAAAAGTTCCCAGCAATACAGTATACTATTAGGAGTAGTATTGGTGCATTCATATTGGTAATAAAGACAAATTCAGATAATTTTTATCAGAAAAAAATAATGAAAGATTGGAATGGAGCCATTATTCACTCTAAAAAGTTATTATAGTACTATCCTTACTCTGTGCTCTCTTCCATTGGCTGTGGGGAAGATCCTGGGACCTTATTTCTAGTACTTCTTGTCTTCACCATTTTCTTTCTTCTCCTTATGACAGCACGTGGTTGCGACACGCCCCTTTAAAACACCACACCCATCAATTTAAATTATTAAGAATTAATAAACTTTGCAAGAAAAAAAAAACAATTTTTAATCCCAAGTTCTTAGCCTTGCAATGCTTTGATATAATGCACTCTCTGTGTGCTTGTCATCTTTAAAACGAGGAAACCTGCAAATAAATAAATTTACATTATTAATTAAAATTTTATTAAGTAAAAGTTAATCTTTGGAGTGTCGTTTGGTCTTACGTTTCTTTGTCGGATTTTAATAATTTCTCTAAAGCAGTCAGGGCAGGAATAGGAGGCTGATCTAATGCAGCCAATACATTACACAAATAACCTGCAAAGTAAGAAACATATATACTCAATAATAATAATAATAATAATAATAATAATAATAATAATAATAATAATAAAGATAAGAACTTAAGAAGCTCTACTTATCAAGAATACTAAGATTTTATATATTAGAAAATCCACTTGTGTATTACTATTAAAGAAAACTCTAAACTACAGCTAATTTTTCTATTTTTGCTGCTCTTTGTCCTGTATTTCTTTGTTTCCTTTATACAAGTACTGAACAATCAGCATTATTACTAGTATTACTAGTATTACTAATCTATTGCAACACATCTGCTCCATTGTATTGTACTGCAGTCTCTCCTACCAATATCAGTTGATAGTTGTAGTGCAGCTGCATCAGTTAGTCGCGGTATCTTTAAGATACTCTCAACATAGGTCTCCATGGTACCACGAGCAATGGCATCCAACCACATATCAGAGAGACTAAGATCACGATTCTCGCCATCATCTATGATGAACAATAATGGGAGCATTAAACTTGAATTAATATGTACTGATTTTAACAGAATTAAAGTAATGCATAAATCAATAAAGTCATCAAATAGTTAATACATTAAATCAGCTGAAAGTTACTATAAATGTGGGTACTAAAATTTTACAATTTTAGTACATAGTAGATTTTGCTGGTAGTAAAAATTGCAATTAAGTAATTATTACTAATAGTTATATGGCGCAATTAATAATCAAGGGCATTACCTGTACTTAAAAGTAACCACAATAATATTAAATTGTAAATAAAAATAGTACATTATTAAAAGTGAACTGTGAGGTATAGTCATGTGATTGTCACATGATAGAGTGTCTCTACCTTCAGTGAATGGAAGTCTCCCGTGCTTCATTGCTGCAGCTAGTGATGGATTGTCTTGTGAAGTGAATGGCTCAAGTTGTTCAGGAAGAGTAAGCAAATGGTCACCAATCTAAAAGAAAATATCATGTGAAATAAAGATACATTTAAATGTTGATGTTCTTATGCTGTGTAGAAAGTTTGAGCTGATTTTGACTTGAAATTATCGAGTTATGGCTAGTTTTAAAAATTTGCCAAAATCTTAAAAATACCTAAGGCTATAGCACATGCTTTTTTCAGAAAAATGGCTAAAAAATCACCCCCCATTTTAATTACATTTTCTGATACATATTGACGTCCTTATGCTGTGTAGAAAGTTTAAGCTGATTCTGGCTTAAAATTTTCAAGTTATGGCCATTTTAAGAAATTTGCCAAAATCTTAAAAATACCCAAGGCTATAGCCCATGCTTTTTTCCAAAAAATGGCCAAAAAATCACCCCCAATTTTTATTACATTTTCTGATACATATTGATGTACTTATGCTATGTAGAAAGTTTGAGTCGATTCCGACTTGAAATTTTTAAGTTACAGCCATTATAAAAAATTTGCCAAAATCTGAAAAATACCCAAGGCTATAGCCCATGGTTTTTTCAGAAAAATGGTCAAGAAATCACCCCCAATTTTTATTACATCTTCTAATACATATTAATGTCTTTATGCTATGTAGAAAGTTTGAGCCGATTCTGACTTGAAATTTTGAAGTTACAGCCATTTAAAGAAATTTGCCAAAATCTGAAAAATACCCAAGGCTATATAGCCCATGCTTTATTTTTTCAAAAAATTGATGTGTACTAAAAATGTAAAACAGAAGTAACACATGCAGCTGGTGATTACTTCAGTGATATAGGTCAAAGGAGAAAGACTGAATGATGGCAAATCATCAGTTAAAGCCTGAGGACTCTCTAATGGAGAAGAGGTACTCCTGGACCAAACCTTATGAGAAAGGAAAAGGAGGAGAGAAAATGGGAGGGAGAGAGAAAGAAGTAGAGAGGGAAAAGAGAGAGAGAGGAAGAAAGGAAAAGAGAAATAAAAAGGAGGAGAAAAATAAATAGAAAATAAATATAAAAATAATAAATAATTTATAAAAAATAATAAAAATAAAACAATAGTTATTGTGTGTACTTTCAGTTTAGGAATTTCAATCAGTTTTTGTTTCAATTGAGAGAACACGACATCAAAGGCTAACGTGTGGGCCTGCTTCACCAAAACTTGAATCTGATTGGTCGTTGCTGGGAGCAACACATGCCCATCACCATCTACACAAGACAAAAATAAAATGAATTAAAAAAATAAAATAAATTAATATGTACAATAATATAATAACAATATTTGATGACATAACACAATATATCAAGAAGACATGATGATAGAAGTAAACGTGTAATGCGGATGCAGAAAATCCTGTGTAGCTAAAGAACAGTTCTTTAATGTTCTGTGGTACATGTACATGTACATGTAAACTCTCTCCTAACTTTTCTCAATGGCTCCCAATAATCCAATGACTGCTGTATGCTCCTCTGGATGGTATATAGAGAGATAGTCAAACACGTTGAACGGGATCTGAGAATTGGCGGGACTCGTGTAGGTATCACTAAGGGACAGCACCTGGCTACAAACACTCGAGTTGAAGGCCGAGACACGAAGAAGGAAATCACCTAAAAAGGAAAAAGGGAAATACAAAAATAAATTATAAAATTCTAAAAAATAATTACATGTATCATTATTACTGCGTCATCATTTAGTATCATTTATTTTTATCATTATTATTATTATTATTTGATATTATTATTATACCATACCACAGTGCTGAATGAACTGGAATATCCACTGTAGGCTACTCCAATCATCTTGAAACCCGTTCCTACCCGTTTCGGAACCAGTCTCGGACTTTGCCTGACGATACCGACCCTGAAGGTCTTGAAGCACCAATGACAGCTTCTTTGTAAACTGAACAAGATATGCCTACAGCAAAAAGAAATGAACTTATTTCAAATCACCATTGTAATGGGATTACCTCAATTGCTTTAATAACTGATACGATCCCCCAGCCTTGTGTGAGCTGGAGACAGTTCTCAATGGAGAGATGAGAGGAGGACATCACATTTGATACAGTAGAGGAGACAGTCCTTAGAGTCTCGTCAAAGTTAGCATCAATCTATAATTTGAATAGTAAGAGATAAAAATTTAGAAGCTTTTCTGTCAAATTCGGAAAGAATGGCTAGTAAAAAATGAAGCTTTCTATAGCAATAGATGCAATAAGAAAATATAAGCCAATATAAGGTATAAAAAATTCTTTAAATAAAAGTCTATGCCTAAGTAAAGATAGTAAATAAATGCCTATGCTTCTGTTTGGAAACACAGAGTAGATTATCACCATTACATACAATGACAATGATCCTAATACATGATACAATGTCAGACTATCACTAGTGAGTTACCATATTGATGTTAAAGAGAGTCTTCATGAGGGCTTGCTGCTGGAATGAGCCGTACTGAACTAGGAGCTGGCAATAAGGCAAATGAATGCTCTCAACCAGCGGGAACAATATAGGACCAGAAACTAGTAGGAGGAGAAGAGAAGAAATATTGTAAAAGAGAAAGAGATTATACATACAAAAATAAGAGAATATTGAATTATAAAAAGTATTACCTGAAAGATCCACAGACTGTAAAGACTTTGAAAAATTCTTCAGAAACTTTAACACAATCTAAAATAAACAAAGAGTGTGTGTGTGTGTGTGGAATGAAGCTATTATACTAACATGTCTCAGCTCAATCAGAGTTGTGACTGGTTCTTGACTCTTATGTACTGCCCCATGAAGAGACTGGCCCAATGATGAAGACAATGCATTCATGCTCTCACCAAAAACCTTCACTAGCATACCAAGAGATGACGTGAAAACCTGAGAACACCAGCCCATCTCGAGCTGCCATTTTGAGAGGAGTTCATTGTAAAGAGTGTTGAGATTCTCCCTAAGGGAAGTATCCTTTTTATCTTGCAATGACTGCCAGAGCTGCTGAACTGTATTCTACAAATAAGATGAAGATTAAATATAATTAAACTATAATAACAATGATGATGATGAATAATCAATTAATTGTGTGTGTAGGCGTTGAATCCATCAAAAGATCAATCAGTTAATTAGCATTCATTTCATTTCACATACACACCAAACATGGCCACAGGCGCGTTGATTTCATAAGAAATCAATGTTGTAAATGGATTAGTACATTACCAGTAATGTAGTCTGTCGTAGAGGTACATGTACTAGGTAGACTGTGTCTAGCCTAGCAGTATATATAGTCTCGTGTTTGTAGATATTGTAAGCTGTTGACAACATAAGATTAAAGAGGCCAAGACTAAAAGCCAAGAAGATAAAGGCGATGTTACTCTTGTCCCTGTTTCTTTATGCTAGTAGTACAACCAGTGGATCTTACTGTATGTCTACTGACTGTACTAATCAAGGTACCTCTGGGTCCTTCTTATTATATCTAAGAGTCTGTTGTGTTATTGATAACTTGGGAAGGAGTGTTACTATCAAAGGGAATGGCATCAATAGATACATTCACTGTCCAAGAGCACTACCAAAGTCTTGTACATCAGGTAAAGATACAAGTATTATTATTATTATTGCTTAGTAATATTCTATAGAAAAAGATTGTAAGGACTTGAATAGCAAAGGTAGCGCTATCAATGGTAACTACATCATATATCCTGATGGAGAGACTCAAGTTGAGGTATAATAGATATAATTATACATTTTTATCATTGATATACTGTACAGGTATACTGTGATATGAATGGTATCAATTGTGATGGAGAAGGTGGTTGGACTAGAGTAGGATATCTTAATATGACCCAGTTTGGTGCTACCTGTCCTACTGGACTAGCACAAAAGAACTTCACTAACATTGATCACCCGCTGTGTGGTAGAGAAAGCATAGGCGATGCTTCTTACTGTGCTTCAACCAATTTCTCAACTAACGGACTAACATACAATAAAGTCTGTGGACAAGTTAGAGGATATCAATTTAATCACATTGATGCATTCTACAGCTTCAATGTTCATAACAACACAGACAGTCCTTACATTGATGGAGTATCCATTACTCATGGAAGCAATCCCCGTAACCACATCTGGTCATATATAGGAGGATTATATGAAGATGGCACTTCTATCACTGCCTGTCCATGTAACACTGGGTACAGTGGTGGTTTAAATGTTACTGCTACATTCATTGGGTCTCATTATTATTGTGAGTCTGGATTAAATCCCGGTCAGCCATTTTCTGCTGTTCTCTATGCTAATGATCCATTATGGGATGGACAGCAATGTGATGGCCCAGAGTCTACCTGCTGTCCAGCTAACTCTAAGATGCCTTGGTTCTATCGTTCACTGGATACACAAACCACTGGTGATATTGAGCTGAGAGTCTGCAGTAATAGAGGAGTTACTGAAGAAGAGATCCCAATAGACATAATGGAGCTTTATATTAAATGAAACACTGCATGCTGATAATGTAAAGAGTGGATAATTATTAATAATGTGTGTTCCAAAATTCCATAAATATTCTACATAGTTTGCATGTGAATGTTTCATTATACAGCATACGGTCTTTTTACTCATTTTATGAATATCAATAGTATAAAGGCCACACTATACACCAGGTAAATCTATTGGAAACAATCTGTGGTTACTTTGATATTGTAAGCAATGTGTTGCCTAGAATAGAACAGGTTTCTATTCTAGTCAACAGTGTTGCCTGAAGATCAAAGTAACCATAGATTGCCTGTAATGCAGGACATTTCTGTCCTTCCAAAAATTTGTTGAATGAAGTTAAAACATTACAATCCATTGATTGATGACTGCTGTTTTTATATGCACATTACTGGTTCATATCATCGTGGGTTGTCTGCTCCAGGATGTGCATCCATGTACTTATAAAAACTTTGTGGTTTATTAACTTTTGTATGTACAATGCACCTTTTGATGGTCATAATTAATTGCCTGCAATAGCATTGCCTGGTGTATAAGGGCCTTAATAGTTTACTATAAATGAAGCCAAGAATGATAAATGAATGCTATCAACTTATACTCCAGTTGACATGACTGTGTTCCACGGCAACAAAAACATTTCATAGTATGCATGTTTAATGCTACATGAATGGCATACAATACATGCCAAAATCATACTACGTATTGTTGCCAGTTAATACAGTGATAGAGCCATTCCTCAAATAACAGCAAACACTTGCCAACATGGATGAGCATTTTAATGATTCATTTTAAGTAACTGCAGTTTGCCTTGTCTGGAATCTTCTTATTTTCATTCATCTAATTATATAAGTAAAGGGCAGTCCATGATTTAATAGTTAAAGAATGCACTTTGTGCCAACAAAAGCCAAAAAACTAATAAATAATGGCTATCATGCACCGTGGATAATTTACGGTAATTGCATCTGCAACTATTTGTGTAAATTTCAAATTAATCTGACCTCAAAATATATACTAAGAACATATCTTAAGATTAGTATCAGCTATAGGCATAGGCATAGGGAACATGCATATACATGTTCTTAGGTAGCGTAGAAAGTTTGATCATAATTGAATTTTTTTACGAATTTTAAAGTTGCTCCAAAATCAGACAAAAGTCACAGTACTATAGTACAGGGTTGTGGGTTGTTGGCCAAATTTTGCCAAAAATAAACAAGTGAGAATCCTCCATTTTTATTATGTTCTCTGATGCATATACATGTACTTATGTTGTGTAGAAAGTTTCAGCTGATTCCAATCAAAATTGAATTTTTACAAATTTTTAAAGTTGCTCCAAAATTGAACAAAAGTCCCTGTACTATAGTACAGGGTTGTTGGCCGAATTTTGCCAAAAATGAAAGGGATGAAAATTTTGTGAACATAAATTTTGGTCTGGTTTATTAATAGGAGCATTGCTTTTTAAATTTTGATTAGTTTTAATCTGCAAATAAGAGGACATACTCTGCAATGGTTGGTATATATCTTAGTCATTTACAGAAACTGTTTATAAATAGTTGTGAACATTATAACTGGTCCCAATATTTATTGATAATTTTAAATTCCAAAGGAAATGTCAGTTATAGCTCATACTTTATGCTATCAACAGTAAAAATCATATCAAGCCAAGAAGATGAAGGTGATGTTACTGTTGTCCCTGTTTCTTTATGCTAGTAGTACAACCAGTGGATCTTACTGTATGTCTACTGACTGTACTAATCAAGGTACTTCTGGGTCCTTCTTATTATATCTAAGAGTCTGTTGTGTTATTGATAACTTGGGAAGGAGTGTTACTATCAAAGGGAATGGCATCAATAGATACATTCTCTGTCCAAGAGTACTACCAAAGTCTTGTCCATCAGGTAAAGATACAAGTATTATTACTAAGCTTTGTAATTTTCTATAGAAAAAAATTGCAAGGACTTGAATAGCAAAGGTAGCACTATCAATGGTAACTACATCATATATCCTGATGGAGAGACTCAAGTTGAGGTACAATATATATAATTATACATTTTTATCATTGATGCACTGTACAGGTATACTGTGATATGAATGGTATCAATTGTGATGGAGAAGGTGGTTGGACTAGAGTAGGATATCTTAATATGACCCAGTCTGGTGCTACCTGTCCTACTGGACTAGCAGAAAAGAACTACACTAACATCAGTCACCCACTATGTGGTAGAGAAGCTAGCAATAATAATAATTGCAATTCAACTACGTTCTCATCTAACGGACTAACATACAATAAAGTCTGTGGACAAGTTAGAGGATATCAATTTTTCAGAGCCCTAGCATTTCAAAGATTTGCAATTCATCAAAATAATGAAGATTTTGCCGTTGATGGTGTATCCATTACTCATGGAAGGAATCCTCGTGAACATATCTGGACATATGCAGGAGGTTTCAGTGAGAATAGTACTGATAATCGTGCCTGTCCATGTAACACTGGGTACAGTGGTGGTTTAGATCTTAATGCTACATTCATTGGGTCTCATTATTACTGTGAGTCTGGAGCAGATTCTGGTCAATCAGTCTCTGAAGTTCTCTATGCTAATGATCCATTATGGGATGGACAGCAATGTGATGGCCCAGAGTCTACCTGCTGTCCAGCTAACTCTAAGATGCCTTGGTTCTATCGTTCACTGGATACACAAACCACTGATGATATTGAACAGAGAGTGTGCCGTAGCAGGAAGGAGTCAGGTGCCAGTGGTGTTCTAGTGGATATCATTGAACTATACATCAAATGACAGCTAATGAATGTGTATGTTATTTTAGCATGAAAGTTAGTTTGATACAATATTTATATCCAGTCACATTCATGATGCAAGTTCACACACAGATACAACACTGCATACTCTTGCTTGCATGCATGTATAGAAAAATATTAATGATTACATGCACTAGCTATAGTGCTACCAGTATCAGATGCATTCCAGTATAGCTGCTACTCCACAGGGAAACTATAAAATATTTTGCTTCATGCAGGTGAGGGGTCACTGCTTACTCAAAATTTAGAATGGTGTCCAGACCCCTTGGAATCACTACAAGTGCATGTTGGCATACTTTGAGTGGGAGGAATTTTCTTAGAATTACTGATTATTATTCCTCCACTTTTGCTGTGCTGTTCAATGGCTGCCTATACTGTTCTTGTACCCATCAGCTAGTGCTAAAGTATTTGTGTGTGGCATATTTCAGTTGAGGAATAAATTTGTAATAAATGACACCTTTTCATTGATCTTAAAGGCAAAAAATAGTTTAAATAGCTAAGGAATGCACTTCGTACTAGTAGTCAACTAAAAGCCAAAAAACTAACAAGTGATGTAAAAAAATGGATAATTTAATTTGTGCCTACACTTGTCACTATTCAGGTGAATCTCAGTCTAAAATTCATTAAAACATGCTTTCATGCAAAATCAGGATATCAAAGGCAAGGAAATTTCGAAGCTTACCATATAAGGCTGATTATATTTCAATGGTATCCCAAGATA